TAGGCTACAGCTCTCTGCAGACAGATATTAGCTGGTATTTTGTGGTATTTTTGAAGTGAGTTTATTTGACTTCTCTGTCTCTTTCTCTAAGGGAAAGAACACGGAAGAACCGACACACGAGCGAGGCTACAATGTGTGACCGTTCACGTGACACGTGAAGTCTTCGCTGTATTTGAAGTCATTTATCAGAACGATGACTAACGTTGAGCGAGATTCCTAAAATTTTCAGGATTTTTCGGTTTTGATACAAAGACTTAATTGGCGTAATTTAATTTATTAATTACTTTCCGTGAAGAACAGTCTGACGATAAAATGAATCCAAATCCTCCTTTGAGAGATGAAACGTTTGATTGTAGAACGGATTAAAGTGACAAATGTAATCCGAGCAATTAAACATGTTGACCTGGAATGTAACGTCTATTTCGGTCATCAGAGAAAAACATCAAAACATAAGAACTTATTTTGACAGGCTTATTAAACGCACGTGTCAGAGCATGTCTTTTTTCATTGTACTGACATGTTTAAGGCCATTTTCAGACGACATCATCAAAAACCTGTCAGGTGACACTTTGATAAGGAAGCAGTTTATGATTTCGAGAAGGGGTGTTTTTTACGGTAAAGAAGCTGGAGCACACGAGTACATGAGTACAGGAGTTGTAAGTCAATGTTGAATACTTTACATACCTTTTCAATGCAAACATAAACCTGTCCATGGAGAGGCTGAACATTATAGGTATGCTGAGAACCAGTTTGAGACGCATTCGCCCGCATGTTCGAAACATGTCACAGTTTAAGGCTTTTGAAAAGTTATTGACATCGAGACAGTTATGTTTTTATCCTTTAATCTTTTACTATATTTGCGTAAAAAAAAAAAAAAACAGTTTTTAAATTCGTATAAATAATGTAAAGCAGTTCTCTTACTGTGGTGCATGAAGAAATACTCAGGAGTGCATGTAGTAAATGTCCAGTCACTGTCAACATGGAGTGCTGATATTCAGAGATAATTTTAATGACTTGATTCCTGGTTAATTCAACAACATTTGCACTTTTTAGGAATTCCACTTTGGTTGCTGTTTGTTTCATTCAGGTCCTGTTTGTGGGAAACTCTTGTTCTCTGTGATGGTCTCAACATGCAAACCTGAGGATGTCCCTCAGTCCCAAATCTTCCTCTGTGTTGACTGGCCTGCAGTCTAGTGCGACCAATTTGGAAAGCACTGTAGTTACGTCCTCTTTTACCCAAACATGTCCTCTTTTTGTCCATATTTGTCCAGGGAAGTTTATAAAATCCTTCAAATATCTGTGGTTCTGTATAGAAGTTTCGAGTTTGTGTAGCGTGGACTTACTGAGTTAGAAGTTCATAAAAGACACTCAACCCGACCCGAAAAACTATTAATATTGACGATGCGCGAATCTGTGACTCTGCCTCCGCCTAGTTGTGTCCTCTTTTTGGGGATTCAGAATATGGTCACCCTAATGCCGCGTTCGAGTTACCTCAGAAGTCAGATGTCGGAGCGGAAAATGACGTTACACTCGAGTTCCCAGCATTTCAGTTACCAATTCGGAAAAAAGCAAAATCGGAGGCCTCGCCTTGTCCGAATATAAGTCAAACGCTAAAATAACTTTCGTAGATGTAGCCATCTGGTTTCTGCCTCCGATTTTGCTTTTTTCCGACTTGGTAACTGAGACGTTGGAAACTCGGGTGTGACATTGTCATCGACTTCTCATTTTCAGCTCCGACATCTACCTTCCGAGGTAACTCAAACGCAGCGCAAGTTACATCTTTGATTTAGTCCATCCATAAGCAGATGAACGATAAAATTACCTGGTGTGATTTATTTCCATTACTTTCCAAGTAAAATTTCCTTGAATTAAAGCAAATATAAAGAGAATTTAAAGCAAAAGCACCAAAAACAATGCTTTTGGTGGACACAGACCCTTAAAGCTGGAAATTCTGAAATCTGCAGCTTTACATGAATAAACTGTTTTTAATTTAGACCTTTCATCTGTTTCTCTGTTTAAGAGAGAAAACACTCAAACTTGGCATGAATCGATTGTTTTGTTGCCTGGTGCAATTCAGCATGTTTGTTTGGCATTATAACCCCGACAATCAACAATAAACACAATTAAATTAGACAGGATTGAACACCAGGGCCACCTGCACATGTCAGAGAGGATTATATGTCTCTGTGCCATTCTGGCTCACTTACATGTTACAAATTGTACTCTTTGTACTCTGTCATATTTCCGAGCAGCAATGTTGTGGCAGAAATGGGTTAAGAGAGAAGAGGGTGTAGAGAAGACGGGCGGGAAATCAGCTTGTCTTCACATGCAAACTCAGAGATCTATGAAAAGAGGACAGAAGCAAACTGACAAAACATGAGTCATCTGGGTCCTGAGGGATCCCCTACATGTTTTCAGTGAGCTTAAGTAGTCTTTGTTAAGAGTGATGAAGTCAATCCCATCAGTTTTGCCTGTCAGGTCACTTCTGCAAATGCCTTGGCTACAATGAAGTTTGTCCAACATGTCCAACGAGGCGATATTTGACTTGAACCCTTACGAGGATTTGACTCATTTTTACTACACAGCTGACACCCCTGATCTGTGGGTTTAGGTTTATGCAGACAGGTATTGACTTATTCATGGTCCCCCTGACATAAGAAAATAGATCGGTGAGCTTCAAACTGTGTAATTGTCACAGTTATAAATGTGATTGTTAAAGAGGAGGCATTTGTTGGCTTTATATTGTCCCTCTGACACCCTCACACTGGATTTCCACCACATCCGGAACAGCCGCAATTTTTGCCATCCGCCAATTCCTACCAGATCCGTTTGTGAGACAAATCTCGTGGCGGAGTATGGACAGTGGGAATCGCAAGAACTCACGAAAACCTGCGATATCAAGTTGTCTTTTAGCCACATAGGCTAACCATATAAGCAGTAGATTGTGTCCTTCCAGAGGAGGAAATCCACTTCTAGACTTCTAGAATCAGCATCTCCTCATCCATGGTGTCATCGGGATGAAATGCTGTCTATAAACCTTTCACTTGTTCGTCCCCGCCATTTGCATGGTGTGTTTTATTTTGAAAAGAAGCCGGATGTTTTTATTTTGTGTCGACTTCCTTTCCAGCACGGGTTAATCTGTGCTGAATTTATCCGGCATGCTCCGGCGTCTGAAAAAAATACAACTGTTGCGATCAGTTGCGCAACGGAAAGAAGCCGGTGGAAACTGACACATTATCTTGAATGGTTACAATCAGCTACAATCAGCTACAAACAGCGGATACGGCCTTTTCATAGGCTTTCAGATGCGGTTGAAATTAGGGGTCAGAACTCCAGAATCAAGCACTCTTGAAGCCTCCTCCACTGTTGCCATGCGACAAAGTGGTGTTTCTTGTGGTAAAAATGACTAATCTTCCCTTTTTAAGAAGATTCAGTTTCTGGCGATGTCACTATTTGAGTAAATCTCATCTTGATCATGTTGAATTCTCGTGGGACTTTTTGAAGAGGCCGTTCAGAGCCCGCTGTAGTCCCAACACATAAATCTGAAACTTTACTCATGTATAGAATTGACAATCAACATTTTAACTCAACATTTATTATTTAAAATATAAAATATTAGGAAAGAGGCAAAAATGGAGGCAGGGTCATAGACAGCCTGGTCAGTGCGACCCTTTCTTTATGAGAATTAAGTTTTGAAAATATGTTATAGTGTTTTAATCATGTTGACAAAATGAGCGTAGAGATTGGACAGAAGGCTCTGTCTGTAGCCTCAAGAAGAAGCTTCTGTATCTCTGATAACTCTCTCGCTTAAGTTGATCTCTTGGCGGTTACTCCCTGCTGTGAGGAGCGTGGGAGTCATTTTTCCAGGATATCCATCCATTTCTCCAGATTGAAACACCTTTTCTAGCCTGACCGGCTGCATACCGTACATTTTTCTGCAGATGTACAGCTCTTTTAATCGCCTCTGTAATAAAGATGTTCTGTATGCAAATGAAGCGGCTCTACCTCGCCTATGGATGTTAAACTGTGGGTTTGACCGTGTTCGCTCTTTGTCAGCAGAATCCTTTTTGAGTGCTTTCTTAGAGGCGTAGTGGTGTGTCTCCGCTCCGCCTCAACAAAACTAAGACAGGAACATGTCATTAGGGATGTTGGTTAATTGCCGAAGATGAGTCAGTTTGTTTGAGAGACATAAGTCATAATTGGTAGCTTTGTAAACTCTGGACCAATCACGGCTGCACGACTGTAAAGGTGGACGTCAAACACATTCCTGCAGAGTTTGATAGACTGTGTTACGACTTGTTAAGAAGGAGTTTAGCTCAAAGCAGCAGAGTTAAGTCTCAAAGCATCATTGGTGAGAGTAGATCAGCTGTTTCAGAGCACTTAAAGTCAAATATGGAGCTCTAAAGGTGGGGGTGGTGTGTATGTCATGCAGGAAAAACTAAATATAGAACACAGCTTACAGCATAAGTTTCTATTTATGTCGTTTGCAGTTGTATTGATTAATCCCTGCAGGTTTAAATAAACCAATGAAAAGACAAAATCAGGAGGAACAGAGACTATGTGATGATGTTAAATCTGCACCAGATGTTATTAACGTGCTAAAGACCAGTTAAGAGTAAGTAAATCACAAGGAAACAGGACACTTTTTTATAACAAACACCTTTTTGTGCAAAATTAATGTGCAACGACTTTAAATCTGCAACTGTGATAATAGTTCAAAAACTTGAATGGGCAAAATGATCCAGTTTTGTGCAAAAATCACAAGTTTCCACAGCACTGAAAACTCCCCTAAACACATTTTCATATTTAAACTAAATATACTTGATTTTTGACATTAAAGCTTTCTTTTCTTTTCTTTTCTATTCAATTCTATTCTGTTTCGCTTTTATTGTACAGCTGTATGAAGTCCATCAATTCTCTTCTTCTTTTCCCTTTCCTCTCTTGTCTTTTCTTTTCTTCTCTTCTATTCTTTTTTCTTCTTTTCCCTTTTCAGCTTTTTTTCTTTTTCTTTTCTTCTTTTTCCTTTTTTCTCCTCTTCTTTTTTCTTCTCTCCTCTCCTCTTCACTTCTCTCTTCTCCTCTTCTTTTCTCTCCACCTCTCCTCTCCCCTCCTCTCATTTCCTCTCCTCTCCTCTCCCCTCTTCTCCTCTTCTTTTCTCTCCACCTCTCCTCTCCTCTCCTCTCTCCTCTTTTCTCCTCTCCTCTCATTTCCTCTTTTCTCCTCTCCTCTCCCCTCTTCTCCTCTTCTTTTCTCTCCACCTCTCCTCTCCCCTCCTCTCATTTCCTCTCCTCTCCTCTCCCCTCTTCTCCTCTTCTTTTCTCTCCACCTCTCCTCTCCTCTCCTCTCTCCTCTTTTCTCCTCTCCTCTCATTTCCTCTTTTCTCCTCTCCTCTCATTTCCTCTTCTCGTCTCCTCCCCTCTCCTCTCTCCTCTCTCCTCCTCTCCTCTCCTCTCCTCTCCTCTCCTGTCCCTCAGTGACTGTCTGGATAGTCTTGATGCAAAGGTCCAAACTACAACAGTCTGCAAATTCAGTCAGTAAAGACGTGTCAAACAAATGTAGAAGTAACAGGAACCACTTCAAGTTAAATCAGCTGCACCGACAGGAAACACGCTGCAGAGAAATCGTTTTTGCAAAGTCTGTTTTTTTGCATGCTGCTCCTTGTGGAAATTGTTTGCAACACAATTATCCTGCTAACCGCAGTGTGCCACTGACTGCAAATACAACCTTAAAATCAAGGATTGTACAGAATATGAAAAAATGAAGTGTAAAGTGAAAATCTGAAACACACCCTGGCTGCAGCAGAGTGCAGCCTGCATGGATTAAAGAACTATTTCCTCTTGAATCACTGAGGCGTGGTTCACTATTGCTTTGCATAAATCCTCAGGAGGAGATAAATCGCTGAAGAATGAGGCAGGACCTGAAATATGAGAAAGTCGCCAGGATGAGGTGAGTCAGGGATTAGCTGCACAATACCAAAAGTTTACAAAAATAGCCGACATGACTCAAAAGCTCACACAAATAAACACTTAGGGTTCAGAGGTGATAGATTTTCACTCTTTTTGTCCCGTTCATGAATCATTCAAAAAGCGATTTAAGTATTTTCTAAGGCTTTTATCTCACAGCGCTGCTATTGTTATTTTTACTACACCAGAATGAAAACACCCTTCACCAAAGTTTTTCTATCTCTTCAAGTCACTCTTTCACTTTACAGATGTGGTCTTAATTTCATACATAACCCTCCTCCTGTGTTAGGGTCTGCACCGACCTGTTTTTGATTTTAAATGCTTAAAAAAAAACCCACTTAAATTAGCTTTTGTGCATCAGGACTTTTTGACTTTGTCAGGAACCTCCATTTCAACAAAATAAAAATAAAAAAATTAAATTGACTGAATTATAAAACGCTCTTATTAAGTTTATGGCACTTGTCGTGTTAGAGTCGCTGTTGACCCGGTTAGATCAATATCTAATAATTAGAGCAAAAAAACAATCCTTAACATGGAGGGTGTGTAGTAAAAGCTAACACAGGAGGAAGGTTAAAGCTCCTGTGAGGATTTTACAGCTGGTTATGAAACAGAAGGAAATGAATATTTACGCCTCTTGGTGACCTTAAAAAGCAAACAAGACCATGAACAAGAGGAGTGATCATTTTAATTATTATTATTATTAGTCATTTTTGATGTTTGAGGTGTGCAATCTGCTGATACAGCATTTTTCAACAGCGAGGATTCCCTGTATGAGTTAAAATTTGTTAAAAGAGAGGAGGATAAGTTTTTTGGTCATGAAAAACGGACGTTCAAAGCGAGAATTTGCAGAGACAGTTAAGTCCGCAGGGGGCGCCTAAATCAACACAAGCACAAAACTCCTCATAGGAGCTTTAGGGTACGTTTACACGTGCCCGGCTATTTTCATAAACGGATATTTCACCCTCTACGTTTACAAAAAAAGAAAAACTGCGTGCACACCAGTACGTTTTCAGAAAAGTTTACGTTTACACTAACCCGTGTGTATACGCCGTCAAGAACATGCCAAACATGTAGCAAGAAGTTCAAGCCAATCAGAATCCCGCATAGCAGCAACAACAACAACAACAACGTCCTTTCCTTCTTTCCTGCACACAATCTGCCGTCGGCTACCCAAATCTCTGTTTTCCTCCATTTTTCTCCATTTACATGTTTTCCAAAATCTCCACTCTGGCTGGAGTTTTAAAAAAGCATTGTTTTCAAGAGTTACTCAGAGTAGAACCGCTGCTCTTCCACGTCAAGAGGAGTCAGCTGAGGAGGCTCAGGCATCTGGTTAGGATGCCTTCTCGACGCTTCCCATTGGAGGTGTTCCAGACATGACCCAGGGATTATATCTCTCGCCTGGCCTGGGAGCACCTGGGAATCCCCCTGGAGGAGCTGGTGGAAGTGGCTGGGGTGAGGGCCGTCTGGGCTTCCCTCCTAAAGCTGCTGCCCCCCGCGACCCGGACCCGGATAAACAGAAGAAAACGGCGATGACAGTGACGTTTGTAGGAGTGAATTCTCCGCTCGCATCTAAACGAAGGGTTCCAAACGATGGTTAATGTCTCAGTTTTTAAAAATAACCGGGTACGTACAAACGGGGCCTAATATTGCCTGAATCCCTCCTGAGCTCTTAACCAGAAAACACATTTAAACATGAAAATTTTACTTATTCAGATCTGAGAAACAAATCAGTTCTTTTTTACAACTTACATAATGAACGATGAGTGTGAGGAAGTAGTTTCTGTTCATTTCAGATTATACAACTATGAATCGTATGCATCGTTGAACAGGAAATAACCCTAAAAACAAATGATAGATTTTCCCCCGTGACAGGTCAACAGAGGAATGAAAAAACTGTGACTAATCAGCTTTAATACGTTTCTCCAGAATTGATTTTCATTTCCTGGCTGACTTTATTTGGTCAGGAGAGAGAACTTCTTTGTGTTTCCCTCTGCTTATTAAAAATCAGTTTCGTGTACATTTCCTCTAAGGGTGATAAGGGTAAACAAACACGCACCACTGGGTCCTGCTGAGAAACTGCTAAATCCTTAAAACAACAACTTCATAAGTAATCTGTTATTGTTATTGTCTGTCTGACTCAGAGGGATGAGCTTTGATTTCAGCGCCTGGCAAACATCCGATCAGATTTCTGGCTCTTCAGTTCCCGTAAGAGCGTCCGGTATCAGATCATCTCAGAGAGAGATTTTTTTTTTTAAGGTGAAGTTGTTTGTGATTGGTTCAAGAGATTTTTGCGGCAGAAAAATTAGCTTTAACTGTTATGATGTAATTCTTTCTTTCTTTCTTTGGCTGATAGAGGACTCGAGCTTCCTCTTCAGGCTGGTTTAGCACCAGGACTCTTCTGTGGTAGCACACCCAGGATGTGGTTGGGCATTGTCTTGTTCAGATGTGTAAGGTGTTCCCTGAAAAGTTTTTGCTCCTAAATTCATTTAGCCCAGTGTTAGTGGAGCCTTCCCAGATGTGTAAACAAGGGTGACAATAAGTCCTCTTTTATCCGGACATGTTCTCTTTTTTTGGTGGGCCGTACCATAACCCTCAACCTAACCCTCAACCTAATCCTAACCCTCATCCTAATCCTAACCCTTATCCTAACCCTAACCCTTACCCTAACCCTCATCCTAATCCAAACCCTAACCCTCATCCTAATCCTAACCCTAACTCTCATCCTAATCCAAACCCTAACCCTCATCCTAATCCTAACCTTTACACTAACTCTTACCCTTATCATAACTCTAACCCTCATCCTAATCCTAACCCTTACCCTAATCCTAATCCTAACCCTCATCCTTATCTTAACCCTCATCCTAACCCTAACCCTCATCCTAACCCCTAATCCGAACCCTGATCCTAACCCCTAATCCTAACACTTACCCTCATCCTTATCCTAACCCTGATCCCAACCCTAACCCTCATCCTAATCCTTACCCTAACCCTCATCCTAACCCCTAATCCTAACCCTCATCCTTATCCTAACCCTAACCCTGATCCTAACCCCTAACCCCTAATCCTAACCCCTAATCCTAACCCTAACCCTCATCCTTATCCTAACCCTGATCCTAACCCTAACCCTCATCCTAATCCTAACTGTCCGGGGAAGTTTATAAAATCGTTCAAATGTCCACGGTTTTGAATGCAACTTTCGAGTTTGTCTCACGTGGACTTACTGAGTTAGAAGCGTGTAAAAGACACTCGATGCAAAAGTCCAGGAAGTCAGAATATGGTTAACGTAGTGTTGAGTATTTGGTTATCATCAGAGCTTGCAAGATCTGGATCGGTAAAGTAGATAGACGAAGGGCTGGTGTTTCTCGTCATGGGTAGTGACTCCCAGGATCTGGTGGTCTATCTCTAATCTTGTTGCCATCCTGTTTGGTGTCGTGTTCACAAACAGGATGAGATCTGGGTTTCTGCAGCATTTAAAGAGTCAACAAATCACTGCCACTAAAGAAGTTTCATGTCGTAAAAACTTCAACTGAAACAAATAATTGTGTTTATGACTTTTAACATCAGGCCAAGTCTTAAAAAAGAGTGCCAGATGTGTCCTCTGAGGTTCGCGAGGCCCTTTGAAAGTATTTCAGGAAGGACACTCTGGTTACAGAATCTGGTTAGATCGGTTTTGACCCGCCGCTGCGGTTCACGGCATGAAAAGATCAAAGGCTTGAGATATCGCAAAGATGCGAACCGTCTTGGCAGGGAAAGTTTCGTGACTGCTCACTTTGATTGTTTGAAAATGTGGAGGTGAAACCTGCAGATAAGAGTGTCACGCAGCCTGACAGACTGGATTCACTTTTTTCTTTTTAAGCTCACGTGGAGTTTTGTGCATTTTAATAAAATCATTTCAGAGATGAAAGATACAGAAAGACATGAGACGAGTCGTTCAGTGGAGTTAGCATTTGGTGCACCGCAAGGATCTGTATTCGGACCTTTATTACTTCTTATTTACACAAATGACTTTTCACTCACTTGTTTATTTCCTTATTTTGTTCCCCTAATGAATCATACAAACAAGCGGAAGCGGTGAGAGACAGTTTGAACTTTATAAACTATAATTAAAATTTTAAAGGTCAGATTTCATCATATCTGCAGGGAGAGGCAGAGGAGTTGAGCAAGAGCGACAGCAGAAGATGATACAGTTTCCAAAGTCTCTCATACTCAGAGTGGTGAGAATTTAAACTGGAAAGACATTGTAGAGACATACTGTATTTCATTGCAAGAACTCAAAAATGTCAAATAAATATGAAAATTGTTTTAAAATGTTTTATTTCTGGACATTATAAAACAAAAAAGACTCATTAAAAGGGATTCAGGGCTGATTTCGGTCGTTATTATGTAGTAAACTTGGCCCAGTTTAGCTGGTTTCTGCTATGGAAAAGTACATCATACCCTGATAGATTGCACAGACACTACAGTGTTGCCAATTCATTTACGCACTGGATTTTGTTGGATTTTGCCTTTGTGATTTTTCAGTTGGATGTTTTTTTATTTTTCGTTATTTTTAAGTAAATCCTTTGATTTGCATTTTTGGGTCCTTTTTCTGTTTCGATAAGTTCGTCTAAACTTGTGTGCAGCACTTTTTTAGTGCGATCATGTTGCACATAAAAATTCAGGGAGTGTAGCCGTATCAGTTTGTAGCTGCACCATTATTGCAGTGCACTGATAAAAGTTTTTAAAAATCTATGAAACTCTGAAGGTGTTTACTTCTGGGTTTCTGTTTTTTTTTAATTGCAGCACAACATCATTTCAAAGTAAAGATTAAAAAACACACAACCTTAACCTGCTCTCAGCTCTCGTCTGTTTTGTTGTTTTGCCGCCTCGTACCATGTGATATGTCAGAAATGTGATGTGGGTGAAATTGTGTTTGACAAGTTAAGCTTTTATTGGCTTTTCTATTGTCTCCTTTTACTTTGTCAAGTTCCAACAGGCGCTCTTTACAGTAAAAACACTTCCTCACTTCATTCCATTTGTAATTAATTTTCTGCGCAGTCATTTCTCTTTCTGCAGACGCTCACGTGACGGTATTTTTGATGATGGCGTGGAAGTTTCCATGAGTTCAGAGTCCCCCCCGGCTCAGCCCCGCCTACGACAAAACATCAAATTGAATTCTCCACATTTGTTGTTCTGCTGCATGCCCGCATTTATTTTTCTCCCCCTCCTCTTCTGGTAAATCATCCTCATCATTTGTCACGTTTTTACCAAAGTTCAAACACGTTCAGTCCTGCACCAAACTTCCCGTATTGACCCTGAATGTGGGGATACTCCTGATGGTGCAGCAGCGACTTTCCCAAGGAGTTTATGAAAGAGTTCGGACAATTCGCTTAAAAATGATTAAGTCTCTTTCTCTGGTTTTAAAATAGTAAATAAAAAAAACCGTCTCTCATATCTCAAGAGAGCAAAAGCGACATTTTCCTGCAGGCATCTTATTCCTGTTTGCACCTGCAGCTTTGCAGCATGTGTGCAGAAAAAGGTTAGAGTGTGTTTGTGCTCCTCTGCCTGCAAAAATTCAGAACTAAAGCGGCAAATGTGACAATAAACAAACCACAAAACAACAGACACAGAGAGGCTGACATTCGGGGAGCGTCTGTGACGACTGTGCAAAAACACGCCATTATTTTAAATAATTTAATCATTTTTAGTAATTGTTTTTGATTGACAGTGAGCTCAGCTGAAGTCGCCACTCTTTAATGTGTGGTCTCATTAGCTGTGACACTCACTCTGGCATCAGGTTTTTTCACACAGAGTATGTGCAGCAGCAACTGTAATCTAAACGTTACCCGTCTGTTATTATATCATCTAATAAATGTTATACAAAATAAGTTATAGTCTGACTCTGTTTATAGGCTAATTTATGTCGCTAATAAGATCATTCGCTGAACAGCCGGGGGCACTTCTGTTGTCATGTTTCAATTTGCCGAGTTTCCTTCAGTAGATGTTTTTCAGTGTTTGTGTCTTTTCTGATAGAGCTCTTCTTTTTAGTCTTTTTGGCACTTTTTTAAACTGCTTTGAACTTTTGCACATTTTAAGTTTAAAGGGACATTCCACCGTAAAATTAATTTAGGGTCAAACACACCGTAGCACCGAGTTAGACACCCCCTTGAGAGATGAATGTTGCCGACCGCTTACTTCTCTACTTTTACCAACTTGAGTAACGACCGCACGATAGCAATACACAGCGGTCAGAGGAGCCATAAACAAACCTCAACCAAAAGGCTACTCTATAGCCACAAATAATGCTCAGAACAGCACCTAACTTCATCAACAGTACATATAGGGTCACAGACATAGTACTAGCCACCTAACATCTTTTTAACTTTGCCTGATTTCTTTGGCAAAGAGACTAAACACAACTCACCTACTCTCTTCCAGCAGCCGCTTGTTTGTAGTGAGACCTCAGGTCAGTCCATTACGGACTACAGCGGAGTGACGCAGCTCAACGAAGAACATTTATGATCATTTCATCATGGAAATGCAATCAGACTGAGACACTAAGACAGAAGAACTACCGTGTCTGCAGAGCAAAATGATTAATGTGGTGATTATTACTTCAAGATAATGATAGAGAAATGATCATAAATGTTCTTCCTTGAGCTGCATCACCCCACAGCTGTCCGTAATGGTGGTGAAGCTGCAAACTAAACCTCATGCACAAACAATATCTTAAGACTTCTTTGACATCAGGATTAAAAACTTCCCCCTCATTAAAACCCAATTCCCGCTTTGAAACAGTCACTCTGGTTATTCCCAGAGGATTAAAAGAGTCTTTCTAACATTTTAAACCAAAGCAGCAGACTGCAGCAAAAACCAGTCTGAAACGATGAGTCATCAGGGTTCGATCTTCTCTGTAATTTTCAGATGGTTACGTTGTTCTGCTTGAAAGACTCTAATCAAAGAAATGAGGCCCAGAGTCTCCACCTGTTTCTCCTTCCAGCTCAAACACACCCTGACAAAAAGGAGTGGACAGTGTTTCTGTATACAAACACTCTGTAAAAAAACAGGTTTCATGGTTCTCTGGGATCCCTCTATAAAAAAACCCCACTAATTATCAGTTTTATTGAGCGTCATCCACCTTAGACTTGAGGTTTAGTCTGGTATGCATTTCTACTTTTTATTAGGTATCTGATCTACGTGTTTGTATATAATGGAGCATTGTTAGGGAGAATAGAAGAAAGTAAAGAGCAAAACTGGGTAGTTGGGTCAGTAGGTAGGAAGATAGTTGGAAAGGAAAGAAAGTAGGTAGGAAGGTAGGAGGCAAGGAAGAGAAGGAAGGAGGATGACATATACATATTTCGACAACTAAGGAATGAGCCAAAATCTGAAATCAAAAAGACAAAAATAGTGACAGATATGTTTCATCAAAATAAACTTTAGAAACTTATGTCCATGTTGGATGTCTTTCTCCCTTCCTTTTCAAACATCTCCCGGTCAAGAGTCGTTTCATCTCGTCCTCATTTTTGAAGCATTTGCTTATTTCATGGACCTCGTCTCTACTCGCAGGAAGTGGGCTGCAAACCACCCACTATCAAAATTTAAACCTGTAACAAAAATTAAACACATTAATAAATAAATCATCAAAATAAAAGCTAACAGACTGAAAAAAACTTGTTTGCATCTGTTATTCCTCTCTGCGTCTTCCTGAAATTTCCGAGTTATTTGAAGTCACTCTCACCCCTCCTTTAACAGGTGCATCAAACTCACAGCTATTCTCGCTAAAATCTGGTGTGTTTTCATCGACGAACTTTTAACCCAGTTAAGCGAAATAAACACAAATCCTTTAAGTATTTTGTTGTTGAAACTCTGCAGATTTGTCTATGAGAATTAGAGACACATAAAACAAATTCAAAGATTTAGAAATGGATCCATTTGTTGATTTTTACTTTATTTTTTTAAATGTCTAACACCGATGTGACCAAAGACAGGGTTAGATACGATAAATCATCAGACCAATAAACAAAACAACAAACAAACAAAGAGAGTGATTATCTGTACTGACATTCATCTCATGTTTCCATAAATAATATACATAATATGTCCAGTAATAAAATAATCAGTGAGGTCCTTTGAGGAATTTTTGTTTTGTGCTGATTCTGGCGCCCCCTGTGGACAGAGCAGTCCTTGCCATCATCTCCTTTACATGATTTTTAAGCAAAATCTCATCTTGCTGAATTTTGATTTCAGTTTCCGACATCAATAATTAGGAAATAAAACCACCGGTCTTGTTGCTGATGCACCGATGTTACTGAACGTTCAAAAACGACAAGTAGGTAAAACAAACCTGATCTTAGTTTAGTTATTTGTTGCTCAGCAGAAAGTTATTTGTCGTATTTTGAGGAAGTCGGCTTACTAAAATCCTTCACCATCACACACTGCCAAAAATATAAACCATTAAGATTGAGGTCACACCGATCAATTTAAACTGAACCAACTGAGAAACTTTTACTTCTGCAGATTGTTTTATTACCGTGTCATGAGAGGAACGTGTTTTAATCCCATCATGAATACCTGTTCCTCTGCAATGCTGGAGATTATTATCAATTACTTTAAATGGAGTGCTCGGCAAAGCTGCAGGCGTGTGCTTTGGCATATTTTTTATTCATGCTGCGTGTTTGGTGTTTGTGTGAAGGGCATGAGGGTCACGTCAGACACGTGGAGATGTTTGGAGAAAAGAAAGACGCGGTGAAACTGCCTCGATTTCCAAGTCCTCAGAGGAAGCGTTCGCTGCTTTCCTCTGGTTTTTAAGGTCTAACATGTTGCTGAAGTGCAGACCAGAATTTCCTTCTGCCTTCAAAAAAAAGCTCCCCTCTGTCTTTCAGCTTCGTTATGTAGGTCATCTGTTTGTCCGATATCTTTAAATGAAATTTTCGTTGATCATTGACACCCTGCACAAAGAGGGTAAGACACAAAAGGTCATCGTTAGAGAGGACGGATGTTCACAGAGCGCTGTGTTCAAGTGAGGAAGGAAGAGAACCGGACAAAGACATAAACGTCTCACTTTCAAGTCTCCAGAAACTTCTTTCCTTGTTCACAGACTTTTAATAGGAGACGAGGCGATGCAGCAAACCGGTAACCATGACAACTGTTCTGGAACCTGTTGCTGGTATCAAACTAAAAATGTAAATTAATGCTGCGTTCCAGTTGGAATTTCTGAGCTCCGAGTCAGAAGTTTGAAGTCCTGAAGTCAGATTTCCAACGCGGATGACCAACGCAGTAGGCGTCCATCTTGGTTTTCCGACTTGTTTACTGGAACTCCGCCAACTCTTTTCCAGCTCCGACATCTGACTTCCGAGGTAACTGGAATGCAGCAAAAGTCTAAATCTGCAGGAACTCTTCCCATGAAAGCTGTTACCCAGGATTTCCACCGCATCCGGAACGGCTCAGATCCGGAACGGCAGCGATTTTTGCCGTCCGCCAATTCCTACCGGATATGTTTGTGAGGTGAATTTCGTGGTGGAATCGTGAAAAATCCCTAAAACCCGCAGATGTACTGCAATTGGGTTCATCTGTGCTGAATTTATCCGGCATGCTTCAACATCTGGAAAAAAATAGAACTCTTGCGATCAGTTGCGGAGTCTGGCGATCTGCAGCGGAACAGAAAGAAGCCGGTGGAAATTGACACATTATTTTGAACGGGTACGATCAGCTAGGATCCGCAAATTCGGCCTTTTAGTTGCCGCTCCAGATGCGTTGAAAATTGGGGGTAAGAGTTCGAATCAAACTCTTTTCAATGACGTTTACAGCTGCAAAAATCTTTTGGACCAATCACAAAACAACTTCACCTGTGAGCAATGTGGCTCTAAAATCGGAAAAACACAACAAGATTGAAAATACGTTTTTTTTTTTCACCCCTTTTGAGATGATCTGATACCAGACGCTTTTACGGGAACTGAAGAGCCAGATTTCTTTAAGGATGTTTACCAGGTACTTAGATGAGCCCTCATCTTTCTGAGTCAAACAGAAAATAAGAAAAACTGATTATTTGAAGGAAGCAGTTCTTATTTAATAGAATGATTCCAGCAGTAGAAGTTTCGGGGATGTGCTGGCCGTCATTCTTGGCATTGCTAATGTTGTGCCTCACCTTCAGAGCCGATTCACATGAAGGTAAAATTTAAATATAAAAGAGGGAAACGCAAAAACGCGCTTCCTCCTGACAGAATAAGGCCAACAAGGAAATTAAAATCAGTCCTGGAGAAACATTCTGACGTTGAGTAGTCACAATATCTTCATTCCTTTGTCGAACCATCATCTCCACGCTCAAACTTAAAGTCTGAACCCTCATGAAACTTTATCGAAGGAAAATCGCTCACATTTTTCAGACAGCAGACCCAGAGGTGCACGTTTGTTTAATCTACCGTTGGATTTCAGGTTTTGATATCACGTTTCACCCGCAGGTGAAAGAAAAAGAAAAGGCACAAGGAAGTAAACACAACGACTTAACCACTTGGGAAGACACCAAAGTATCTGATGATCATAAAACCTCATATTTGTTCTTTTTCTGCTGGTTGAACAAGTCCGTCGACAAACATCTGCTCAGATCCTAAGATACACACATGTATGTATGAGTAAGGCCTGTTTATAGACACCATGATGCCAGGACATGTTGCGTGAAAGGACACCCAATAATGACTCAGCCTGTGTGATGCAAGAGTAACCTGAGACAGAGATTATGAATTTTGCAGCATCCTTTCTTTGCTTTATGTCACCCTATAGAAATAACATTGATTTAAACAAACCTGCAGAGACACGAGGTCAGACTGTGCAGCGCTAAACACCTTTTTTTCTGCACTTTAGCCGCCGCTGCTCAACATTTTATTCGTCTAATCTGATCCCAGGTCAGCCTTATCATCATGCGGGGCTGAACGGCACTGATGCGTCACTCTTTGAGGTTTTTTTTTAGATCCACTCATGAATGATATGTAATCATTAACAGACCTGAGACAAAGCCCACCCAAATGACCCAAATAATATGTTAGTCTTGGTGCCAAGCCAGGTCCTGGAGAACCAGAGAATACAAACTATTTCAGGGTCAGGACCACTCCCAGTGTCACGGTATGGATTTAAGGGTTTCGTTTGATTTATAAGGAAGGCGACATAAAGCTTATTCTCTTTTCCAACCATGTTTTTGTCTGATGTTTGTTGTAAATATAGCTGAAAAAGCTCTCGTGAGGATGTTTTGCCGAGCAGCCTTCACAAGTGTTTGCTCGTGATTCGTGTTGGAAAACAATCAAACAAAAGATCCCGGACTCGCTCTTTGTGTTTGTTTCTGAGGGAAACTTTTGAATTAAGCCGAGGCTTTACAAAGAAAAACTGTTTGACTGATCGCAGCTGCAGTTATTTTACATTGATAATATTTCCTGCTACGCATTTCACTTCACTGACTCATTACAGCCCAGCATAAAGACTTAAGAATGCTAAAGGACGTGCATACTCCCCAGAGGGTAATTCCCAGTGACCTCGAGGGTTTCACTGTTAACTCAGATTAAAGGAAAAAAAAAAATTGGAAAACAGTTTTTCCAAAATGGTCCCTCAAAATTTATTCAGACCCCCTAGAAGCTGTTTCCTTGTGTTCATTCTCTCCAGAGCGGGAATCCTTGATTTTGGGAGTTATCAGTTGAGGCCAAAATATCCCCAAACTGAGACATACGGCGACATTTCCTCTGACCTAACAAGACTCCTCAAGTTCATACTCCCTAGACCCCCTCAAACCTGGGTCCAAAACTTATCCTAATTTCCCTTAAGTTGTCCTTTAATATTCATGCTCCCCAGAGTAAATTCTGGCGTTTTTAGCAGCTGTTTATTTTGCTGTTCTGAATCTTCATGGTCATAAATATGCCCCTTAATTACAACAAAGACTCTCCCCAAACCTGTGAATATTTAGTGAATATTCTTGGTCCCCAGAAGATACCTCACAAAAATTTTTTGCCACTCCTAGGATTTCAAGTAAAAGGCAGAAAAATACCTCTAAAAAGGTAAATTACAGACAGTGCCTAAAAAAACATACTGACTGAATTAAGACTCTCTTATCCCTTTAATGCCTGAAACCTCAAATTATGGACAGAAAATTAAAGTTTTTTTTTAGCTGAAATCTTTATTTCTCTTACTAATGAAAACCATAAAACAAATATATTTACATATATATTTATCTTGTTTGATACACAAGATGTTTTTGGAAACTGATAAACCACAAGAGCATATTTTTATCATTTATCGGACTGTATTCTGGTGTTTTTTTTTATGTTTTGTTGATCATATTGATTTGATAGAAGTATCATAAAAGTGTGTATCAAATATACAAAAGGCATTAAAGGGTTAATTGTGTTTTTTCCTATGTTCATGCTCCCAAAGGGTTGAACCCTGTATTTTGGCCTCAGTTTCCTTAAACTCAGCCGAAAGACCAAAACATACCCTTGACTGTCACATGGAGGAAATTAATGCTCATATTCATGCCCCCCTGAGGGTAGTTCCCTACGATCCTGGTGCCCCCTAATAAATATCTCAACTGAAAGACCACAGCAGAGTAAAATGTCCCCTAATACTTTCTCCAACTCTTTAAAATGTTCTTTTTCTTGATCCCCAGAGGATAAATATTCTCATCTTTAGCCGTTTAATTCCTTTTAATTCCTTTTAAAAAAAAAACCTGAATACATTCTGATAAATGATAAAAATGTCCTCTTGCGGTTTATCAGTTTCCAAAAACATCGAATTTATCAGACGAGATAAATGTGTTTATATATATTTGTTAAATTTTAAGGACATTTTGATTTTTTGATTTTTATTTTAGGACATTTTACTCCATACCAACAAAAATGAATATCCTCAGATATCATAGATCTTGTATTTTCATGGCTCTTGGAGGATGATTCATGTTAAACTGTCTCTCTGTTGAGCTTGTCTCACACTCTTGTACACATTAGATAATTGTTGAATGTTTAGTCTTGCGCAAATTAGTGTAATATTCTATGTTTGGTGTTTGTACACAGAGAGCAAAGTCTGTTGGAGTCACTTTCCTGGCGTGTGTACACAAAATTGGCCAATATTGTGGATTCTGGTTCTATCGGACTCCTCTCAAAGGCCGTATAATATTTGGTTTATCACAAACACATGTTTTGTTTTTGGGATCTGCTTGTTCCTTAAGTAAGTAAGTAGATGATGAATGTTTTTGTGTCTGTTTATTGTTCTTGTTGAAATTTCTGCTCTTATACCATCTGAATCATCTTTACCGCCTTGTTGTAGTTCATGTTCTCACTGCTAGTTAAATAATAAATCTAATGGAAAGTAATGGACAACACAGCCCATAGGTTTAGTTTAAAAAAAGCTGCTGTTGGTGTTTCCAATTGGATACGTCTATTACATAACGATGACTGAACTGCTAATTACTCTACTAGTCTATATTTAATACAGGACGGTCCAGTCTTGCGCACTTGATTGGCGCAATTAGATGTTTGATCTAATTATTCAAGAAGTCTTACGTGTACACCCATTAAATGTTCTTGCTTCTTCTCACCTGTCAGCCTCACACTTTTTACTGGCTTCCCATTGGTGGAGAAGTGTTCCCAACTTACGGCATCTTTCTTTGTTTTTCTTTCCAAACCGAGTCTCTGATCCGTTTAAAAACGGCCAGGGGTGACAACCAAAACCCCCAGACTTAAATCTGTTTGTGTCTAGTCTCTGCATGTACAGAAAAAAAGGGGGAAAACCCTCATTTATGAATATCTGAGTTCCTGATAGAGACCTATTGTTAATTTTTGGTTAATAATTCCTCATTAAAACAATTTCTCTATGTGCTCTCTTATACATTCAATGAAAGTTAATCAAAGTCCACATGCTGTGGTACAAAGCCACTCCTCTAATTTCCATCTACCTGTGAGGATGCTTACCTGAAGGGGGCGTGGCTTCAGCCTGCTGCTCTAGGTGAGTCATGCAGCTGTTGGTGCTTTATAACAGCTGTCCAACAGATAACTCTCATTTGCAACTCTCACCATGGAGGAGGACAAGGATATGCCCAAGTGAGTACACACACACACTCATCATATGTTCTGTTTTTTATTTGTAGTTTTCAGTAAAAGAAGAAATAATCAAGCTGTGACAAGAATATGGAAATGTAAAAGAAAAAAAGGACATTATTAGGCGCTTAACTTTTAGTCATTTTAAGTTTTGAAGGTGAATTAACAGAAAATAAAATAATTTACTTTTCTTTCTGTTGTGTCAGTGAGAATTTTGAATGTAACATAGTTTATAACTTATGAATATTTTATCTTTTTTTGTATTTTTAAAACAAAATTTAAATTTTTAAGGGTTTTATTTTAGTATTTTTGTCTTTTTTATGGCTTGTAAAAGTTTTGGATTTCATTGCTGTTTTGAAGATTTTTTGCTTTTTGGCGTCTTAGTGCAAAAAAAGATACTTGAACTGATACTTGGGGAGAGCTTAAACGTGCTGACTGTGTATTTCTGTGTGATTAAATGATGATTTTTGAGCTGCTGTTTTTCAAACGTTTAACAAATTCCGCCTTTTCCCTTCACTTTACACACTTCACGCTGTTTATTGTATTGTAACTATTTAAATTGCTTATCTTTTAATTAAATTATACTCACAATAGTATGGAGCTGTCATCTTCTTTCTCCTGCTCCAGATTTATTTGCAGTCATAACTCTTCTTGTTGTGGTTGAAGCAGCTGCTGAACTGGTTTGGAGCAGCATACCTGACAGATGTTTGACTATTGCTCTTTCTAATAACGGCTATCGTTAGTTTGTACTCTCAGTCACCGCCTGAGGAGGCAAGAAAGTACAAACCTGAATTAAGTAATTATTCTTTTAATAGTGAAGGCGAGCCTTAAACCTAAATATCCTTTAATTTACCGTTCATTAACTCTGGCACTGTTTGCTTTGCCACTGACTAAACCTGCCTATTATAGTTGGAGTTCAAGAGCTTTGTTTAAAAACCTTGAATAATAGGAGTAAGCCGTCTTTCTCCATTGTACAGATATGACTAAACTAAGTGAGAAAAAGACTTTTTCAGGCCTGGCGGGGTTGGTTTTAGTGTTGGTCCTGTATAAAAAATTTAAAACAAGCATACATCAATCAATCCGTCTTTAGTTATAGAGCACTTTTCATACATAACATGTAACACAAAGTGCTTCACACAGAAAAAGGAATAAAAGAAACAAAGAATAACCAAATTTATCCCAACCCGACCCCTCATTCCCACCCCTCGATCTAATTGCAACAGACACATAGATTAAAATGCATAAACTTAAAAAGGGCTTGATGTCGTGGAAACAGGAATGTGCGCACTGAGGAGACGTCATTTTAAAACTCAAGATAAGAAAACACTGGAGGTTTACGTTAAAATCAAAAAACAAAGAAGCAAAGAATGAAATTTAAGAAACAAAAGATAAAATAAAATGAAAACAACAGTAAAAGATACTAAAATAAAAGCACCAAAGTTAATGACATAAAATTTGGTTAAAAGCAAGACTAAAAAGGTACGTTTCAGTTTGCTTTTAAAAACATCACATAAAACAATCAACGAGAGAAAAAACCTGAATCAATGATTAATCATGACCTGCATTTCCACATTTTCAGCCTCTTATCTGTGCATTATTCCATCTCTTATCTCTTTTCTGACTGCATCAAGTCTATTTTTACTTTGGTCTGTATGTTTAACTTTTGGATGTATATCTTTTGTATCTGCGCTCCAAGTCTGTCCCTCTTTTTGAGACTCTTATTCCGGTATCTTCGTCCAGGAGGTCGTGGGATACCTTCCAGGAGGTCCCGGTCATTGAGGATGAACAGACGCCATGGAAGATGATCAAACTCCTGAAGATCTTAACTCTCATTGGCATGGCTATAGTTGTGTTTGGATTGGCGCTTTGTAGCAAGGTTTGTCTTTTTTTCCAACTTGTGGTGTGATTCCGTGAAGACACGCACGTGCAAGTTCACCCTCATGTGAATGTTTTATCTTACAGATTGATGATCAGTTGTTACTTTCTGTTTCAGGCCTCTTTTATCCTCCTCATCACTCTATCCAATGAAGGCACAAAAACCATCCCAGACAACCAGAAACCTGTAGTTCTGCTCTGCATCGCCTGCGCCCTCATCACATCCAGCGTCCTGTTATTTATAAAAAGTATCTGGAAGGCATGCTACAAAACGTCAAAGCTGCCGAGTAAAGCGACTCTTGCCGCGGTGAGAAGATTTTTCATCGTGATCCCCCTGATTCCAAACAGGACCTGTCAAGTTCCCAGCCTCTTCACTGTCTTCTGCTTCTTTTTCAGGTCATCATCATGGACATTCTCGTGTCTGGAGGAATAGCGATCCTTACAATCGTCGCAATGCCGCACTTGGACATCGTCACCAACGTCACGATACTGAACAGCGTAGCCGTCCTCTCCGCCTTCCTGCAGGTGATCACTCAGTGCACCGCCAAGGAAAGGAACCGGTTTGTGGTCCCGCCCATCACCGCCTTCCTCCTTCTCCTCCTCGGTACGGCCCTGTTCCTCTACTTGTACATCACGAAGAATCCCAATGATACCAAGATGTTAATTTGGGTGGGCTTGGCTGTCGGTTCGGCCTTCTTGGTGTCTCTAAACTGGTGGGAAAACTACTGCAGACTGATCTGCCAGCACACCGGGGCAGTCGCCCTCAAGAACTTGTGCAGAGATGTATCAAGGTGCCGGAACGTACTGCAGATCATTTCTTGCCTGGTCAGGGTTGCAGTCACAGCCAGTGTTGTTGGAGCCTACGTCCCTCTTGCCGGAATGGACTGGGACATTGTCACCGCCATCCCCAGTCGTGAGACGAGAATCATCGCCATCACCATCGGTGTCCAGCTGATCTCCTCCGTGCTCTGCCACTGGTTTGCATTGCTCGCCTGCAAGATGCACGCCCTGCGGCGGTGCTTCATCCTGCCTTTGTACCTGGCCTCTCTGGCCGTCATGGCCCTGTTCGTCATCCCGGTCATCGTTTACTATCAGGACTACAGAACCAGTCTGAACGGGACTCTAGCCATCAACTTCACAGGGTACTGCAATGGAGTGGTGGACGGGAGAAACGGAACCCTGACTGGCAGTGTGTTTCCTCACCTGGTGCTGGATGTGACGCACACTCTTTGCTTTCTGGACATGTCAAAGATAATGGACATCGGCATGCTGACAGGTAAGCAAAAAAGTAGACTAAACTTCATTCTGCAGAGACCCAGTTATTAAAAATACTTGTGGTGCACACAGGAGCCAGAGCAAAAGCATTAACTTAGTGGGAAATTTTATCCTTCAGGTTCAGCCGTGTCCTGGTGGCTCGGTCTGGTGTTAGCCACCCTCCATCTGTGGTACCTCAGCGTACATCGTATCATGAGGACCCAGGACCTTTTCATCAGGAGGCTGTACGAGGGAGCCTTCATCGAGCAGTCTCTCCTGCTCAACACCCGGTTTGACGTCCAGACCAGAGGCAGGAGGAAAGAGTAAGTGTTTGTGTGAAGGAGTATCCCGCGCTTTGGTATCAACTGCGACGCAACTGCTCATCTCACATTCGTAAATCTCGTCTCTTTTAGTCGATGGCGGTTTGAAACGGCGATGGTGTATCTTTGCGCAACCATGTGGCACGAGACCTCCGATGAGATGATGAACATCATAATCTCTATATTCAGGTGAGTCTAACCTTGTTTTCTTTAAAGGAAAATCCCATCATCATGCCGTTCCAATGGTTGTTTTTGTGAATTCATTGGATTGTAAACAGTGGTCATCGTTTTGTTTCCGCAGGCTGGACAGGTACCGACCAAAGAGAGAGAAGAATTTAAAAGATTTCACCTTCGAAGCCCACATCTACTTCGACGACGCCTTCAAACAGGTGGAGGGGAGTCACGGCCGTCATCTCAATGATTACGCAAAGACCCTCGTGGAAATCCTGGCTGAAGTTTACGCGTAAGATCAATACTAACAGATTAGCTGCCTTTAAAATCACGACCAAACCTTGACTGTCTGCAGGATGTCACCTGACTTATCTTACTTTTATTTTCTGTCCATTAGCATCTTCACAAACATCAACGAGAATTTCTTCAGTAAGAAGCAGCAAATCCCTGATCAGACCGTCATAAGGACGCCGTACGGAGGTCGTCTTGTGCTGACCATGCCTCATGGAAACAACATCGTAGTTCACTTTAAAGACAAAGAGCTCATCCGCCACAAGAAGAGATGGTCACAGGTAGAAATACGGCACAGAGAGAACATTATTATGTGGGGGTTAAGTGCTTTTATTTAAAACGAATTCTGCTTTTTAGATCATGTACCTTTACTATCTCTTGGGGTGGAAACTAATGACCAAATACTACAAACGCTGGCAAAAAGGAGAGGCCGAGATGGAGCTGAAAGCTGAGGTCAAGGTAAGAGAAGGAAGCAGGAACACCTTTGTGAACTTTGTGAATGTTTATTTTAGAAGTGAAACTAATCAAACTGCATGTTTTTCCCCCACAGACAGAGAAGCACAACACCTACCTCCTGGCTCTGGACGGGGACACTGACTTCCAGCCGTCTGCTGTCATGCTGCTCATCGATCGTCTGAAAATGTACCCAACTGTCGGAGCGGCCTGTGGAAGGATTCACCCGACTGGATCAGGTTTGAAGAAAATACTTAACAATGAAAAATATTCAGAAAGCACTGAAGTGTTAAATCCAATGTGACCGTTGAATGTGTTGTCTTTGTAGGTCCTGCCGTGTGGTTTCAGAAGTTTGAGTACGCCATCAGTCACTGGCTGCAGAAGACAGCTGAGCATGTGATTGGCTGTGTGCTGTGCAGTCCTGGCTGCTTCAGTCTTTTCAGAGCGGAGGCCCTAATGGACGACAACGTGATGAAGAGATACGCCACCAAATCCACAGAAGCTAGCCACTACGTCCAGTACGATCAAGGTACGAGACGCTTTCTTTGACCTCCTGCCCCTCGCTCAGGTGTGGCAGCGTGTCATCTGACGTCTCTTTCTCTGTTCCTTGCAGGTGAGGACCGTTGGCTGTGTACTCTGCTGCTAAAACAGGGATGGAGGGTGGAGTACAACGCGGCATCTGACGCTTACACCAACGCGCCTGAGGACTTCAAAGAACTCTACAACCAGGTGGGTCAAGACATGAGCTCTCTGTTAACGGTCTGACAGCCATGACACAGAATCTCCACTTCTCACCTTCAATCTTTGCCAAATCATGACATCATGTTGTGTGCCAACTCCAGCGTCGGCGATGGGGCCCGTCCACCTTGGCCAACGTGGTGGATCTGCTCGGTGCCACCAGTGTGATTTCCAAGAAGAACCCATCCATGTCCAAACCGTTCATGTTCTACCAACTGTTCGCCATCACGTCAGCCATCTTGGCCCCTGCCACCATCTGCCTGATGATTGCAGGTTTGTATTCGGAGATGTGCAGTTATTTCCGAACAAACAGCCTTTAGCGAGCTTTTGGGATCGCTTGTCAAAACGTTGGCGGTACAGAGTTGATGTCAAATCATACATCTGATATTTACGTCTGTGTTTTTGTGTTGTGGTCTCCAGGTAGCTTGTCTTTCATGTTGGGCCTGGATGCAAGCTGGGCTCTGGTCTTGGCTATTATACCTCCTGCCATCTACTTGATTCTTTGCTTCAAACTCAAAGCCGACACCCAGATCACCATTGCAGGCATCATGAGTGTCATCTATGCCTTCCTCATGTTGGTCGTCACCATGTCCATCGTCGGTGAGTTGTAGAGCTTTTTCACAGATTCTGGTTTTGGACTCCGTTCTACCTTCGCTTTTTAACCTTGCGTCTCTCCACCCTGTTGTGTTTCCGCAGGCTCAATGATAAAGGACAGAACCATCCTGACGCCAAGCAGCATTTTCGTTGTGGCCATGGCCATCATTTACGTCATCACGGCATTGATGCATCCCCAAGAAGTCCAGCTAGTGTTCCACGGGTTTCTCTACATCATTTGCATACCCAGTGCCTACCTCCTGCTCACCATCTACTCCATGGTCAACATGAACAATGTGTCCTGGGGCACCCGTGAGACTAAACCTGCCCCCGGAGCTGCCCAGACCACAACCACACCACAAACAAGAACAGAGAAAGGTAGATTACCAGGTTTGGAATAAAAAGAGTGCAACACCACATCATGATTGGTTTTGTTTCTTTCTAAACTGAAGCTTCACTCTTGCAGCCAAAAGCACTTTCAGGCGGCTCTTCTGTTGGGCTAAATGCTGCAAGAAATCCAACCAGTACACTGAAGGGAGGCGGGTCATTGTCAGTGAGGAAAATCTGATGCCCGAGCCCGCAGAGTCTGAGCCACAGCCCATCAACACGATTGTGGATGACACAGGGTTACCAGATGAAGAAGAGAAGTAGGTTTTTAAAGTGTAACTTGGATTGGACGTTCTACAAAAACAAGAAATGAGATGATACTGATCCTTTTTGTTCTGGTTGTGTTTCAGGCAGGCGGAGCCTACTTATCTCCCTGCTCAATGTAAGTCCACAGACATCGAAATAAAACATCAGCACACAGTTCAATGTTGCTGTCATCTAAATCTCTTTTTTCTCACATTCCTGTGCAGGTTGGGTCACACAACTTCAGAACGCAGCCACTGACATGCAGCTGCAGGAGGATCACCTGGACAAGGTGCGTATGCCAGTTTCCAAAGGGTATCTTTGAAATGACCAAAAGCAAACCCTGAGGGGTGTAAAACAGAAACAACATTGTGCCTGACCAAAAAGACTATCTTGAAAAAGACTGCAGAAACCAACACTTTCCAAGATGGCCCCCAAAAAAACGACTTTTGGATAGCCTTAATAATTCGAAACAACAGTCAGAACAATCAATTGAAGCGGTATTTGTATTTCTGCAGGAAGAGGAGGATTTCTGGATCGAACTCCAGAAGAAGTACCTGGAGCCTCTGGCTGATGACAAAGAAAAACAGAAAAAAGTTGCAAACGACCTTCGAGAGCTGAGAAACAAGGTAGGTGTTCGATTCCTCAACCACACGTCAAGCAGAAAGTCCAGAAAGAGTCCACCTCCAATTATGGATGTTGTGTCTTTACGCACAGATCAACTTCGCCTTCTTCATAATGAACGCCATGTGGCTGGCGGCGACATTCACCCTCCAGATCTTCGGATCCTCTGTCTTCATCCGCTTCCCGAAGGTGGACTTCAACTTAAACAGCACGGGTACAGACGTACAAGTCGAACCCATTGGCTTCATGTTCATCATTGGATTCGCCACGTCGGTTTTGATTCAGTTCATCGCCATGCTGTACCACAGGTGATCACTGAAAGCCAAACAACTTATAAACGACCGCTTTACAATGACTTTACAACGACTTTACCAAACTTAATGTCATGTGTTCATCCAGAATCTACACTTTGGTCCATTATGTGGCGTTCATGGACACAGAACCCAGAAGTCAACAACCTTTAAACGAAGAACTCTACTACGAAGACAAAAAGGTATTTAACGTTAAATTCATTTGCTTTTGTTGCTTAAGCAAATAAACTTGTGTCGAGTTTTGATAAAAGGTCGACCAGACAGTTACATCCAGAGTTTCTTGGAGATTCGATTCGCACGAGTCGGATCCACCTGATAATTATCACTCAGGTTTGTTATACATAAGATGCTCATAACAGCAGAGGGCCTTAAACTGCCTTTTTGTTTTATCACTGAGCCCAGGGAGACTGAATGTACCCAAATTAAGGCCACACCCTCTTGCAGCTTTGGTGACACTTGGCTGCAGTGTCCCAGGTGCGGTGACAAGTATGCGCACTGATGTTAATTTCATCCCCACCCAGATTGACACAGCATCCAGTGTTGACTACGTCTCCGAGGCCTACTCTGATGAATGGTCTGACGATGACGACGATGATGAATACGAGGACTACCCCGCGACCATGTACAGCAGAAATTACGACGGTGGAACGATGGTGTGATCACAGCCTAGGTGAACAACCAGAGACTCTTTAGCACTTTGAAATATCCACTATATGTGAGATCTGCAACTAAAGCGTTGTTTATTACATGTGTTATTTAACATGAAATCTAGTGCAATTTTATTTATTTGAAGATTTTACTGAACCAAATGTCAGTACATGGAGCCCTGAAGTGAAGAAGCCACATTTTATTCCAGAAAAAGTACTCTCAAAAACAGCAAAACGGTATAAAAGTGTGTGATCGAATAAAGACACCCAGACATCGTCAGGTCAGTGAATGTAACATTGTTTGTGCTATTTATGAAGGACGTGTACTGTAAATACTTATTTAACTTGACTTTGCTGCTCCTGTGTCAACTCGAGATGTAATGTGAAGAAGAATGGATGAAGTTTAGACGCGATTAAAGAAAATGTGAATGAAAAGCGGAAACGTTCTGCTCACGAACTCGTCCTTTCGAAGCGAAGAAAAGTCCAAGAAATGTAGCTGGCGAGAGGATGAGGAGAGCGCGTCTAAATCTTGAGAGATGAGCAGGGAAAGTACGGCAGATTTTGCACTGTGTGGTAGGAGAGTAAATATTTTTATGCTGTGGCGCTGCTGCCACTCATAGTTATCAATGAAGTTTCTCAATGCTTGTATTTCCAACGTCTATGATCCTAAATCTGTACTTTTCCCTCCCTTTTTTTGCATCATCCTGGACTTAAATCTTTGCAACCTTTTAAACTGGAAAATAGCATTTTTATGTAAAAAATGCATGAAAGCTGAGAACACTTTCAGAAAGAAGCAGAAAAATATGACAGATTGTGTTTCTGAGCTGATTGTACATAAGAGTCTGATGTGTCGAATTGTTCCTGACACCGTGTAAAGTTTTTACCTGGATATTTTTGTAACTTTAAGTTCTGCACTAACAATGCTGTATTCAGCAGTGTTTTTTTTTGTGTGTGTGCAGTAGTTGTTGTAGCAGAAAAGAGAATATTATTGCACTCGAGGATGAGAAACTGCTGGGACTGCTTCTCTTCTCAGCAGTGAGTTTAAGTGAATCTGAAGGTTGATCAGATCGCACCATGTTCATTATAATAATGCTGTCGGTATGTTTACGATGAACTGCTTTTACATTTAAACCAAATAAAATATAGTGATTAAACAGAGTGTAGGTTTTCAATCATATCTCAGCCCCTTTTTCTTTCTCTCTGTTTCTCACTGTCAGACTTTAAGCCCTGCAGAAATCTCTCAGGCGGTCGATCCGGTTCGACTGAATTCATAGCGGTTAATTATGGACCAGGTTGTGCAGCAACCTGCATCCTATATTTAAAGAACTTAATAATAAGGTTACGCTTAATCATTTCAAACAAGAACACAATACTGTAATTAATGAGAAAGGGCGGAGCTCCCGCTCCTGTTAGTGACACTTACGTCAGTGGACTACACCTAGAAAAAGGAGTGTATGAATGCAGGGCGCATTTTAATGAATTTAATTAGTTTCACCTCATTTATATTTACCTGAGTTATCTAACACAACATGTTTGTATCACGTAAGGGTTAATAACCTGACAATTGGGCAATGTCTCAACCTGATCTATGAGAGGATATAATAACTGTGCAGCTAATGACTTGATGTTGGAGGAAAGACGTCACCTGTCACTGTTAATTGATGTAAAATCGGGTACATGTTATAACCTAATGGTGGGTGATTGTTGTATCCTGACTTTAGTTTGACATTCAAAGCTCACGTTGGGGCAAAATCAGCTCCTGACAGCAAGAGACATAAAAAAAGATGGATGTCTTCTGATGTCTTCTGAGCCGTTTTACAAGATTTACAGTTTAACAAATTCTGAACATATTTGAGGCCGCTGTCTTTGAAATCCCTCGTTTGAGCCTCTGTCTGTGAAGTTTCATGAGGTTTCGATGATTGATTGTGTCTTAACATGTAGTGTGTAATGTCAGCGGGTGAAGTCACAACACTGTTAAACCATCGTAACGAACAAATGGACCGTTCAGTCTGACTTTGGCATGAGACTCTAGTCGGTGGCTCTGGAGTGTTAAGACCGGTGACAGATTACTTATCAGTAATAAAACAACCTGCAGTTTGTTCTTCTCTTAAAGGGATATTCTGTCGTAAAATTAATGTAGGGTCAAACACACCATAACACCGAGTTAAACACCCCGTCGAGAGATGAATGTTGCCGACCGCTTGCTTCTCTAGTTATACCAACTTTAGTAATGACCACATGATAGTAATACACAGCGGTCTGAGGAGCCGTAAACAAACCTCAACCAAAACGCCACTCTATAGCCACAAATAATGCTCAGAACAGCACCTAACTTCATCAACAGGACATATAGGGTCCCAGACGTAGTACTAGCCACCAAACATCTTTTTAATTAAATTCTTTAGCGAAGAGACTAAACACAACTCACCCACTCTCTTCCGGCAGCCGCTTGTTTGTAGCGAGACCTCAGGCCAGTCCATTATAGGCTGCTGCGGGGTGACACAGCTTAAGGAAGAACATTTATGATCATTACTTTATCATTTCCTTTAACTAATAATCATCATATTAATAATTTTGCTGTGCAGACGCGGTAGTTCTTCTGCCTTAGCGTCTCGGTCTGATTACATTTCCATGAAGAAATGATCATAAATGTTCTTCCTTGAGCTGCAAAACTCCGCTTTAGTCAATGGACTGGCCTGAGGTCTTGCTACAAACAAGTGGCTACTGGAAGAGAGTAGGTGAGTTGTGTTTAGTCTCTTTGCTAAGGAAATTAGGCAAAGTTAAAATGATGTTTGGTGGCTAGTACTATGGCTAGGACCCTTTATGTACTGGAATATCCCTTTAAAACTCCTTTGAGGATTTTATTGGTTGGTCCATTTTTGCACTACATACCAACCCTAACCCTACTAAGTTTTCATCCTGCTGTCTTTGCTCTTCCATATATCACTCATTATGAACCTTAGTTGTTCCTGCAGTCTGTTATTGGTCGCTTGGTCTGACACCAACCCCCCTGATATGATTCCAGGCAGTAAAGACATCCATGTAGATTTAATCCGTCATAATTCTGATGGCCTTGTTTGTAGATTATAAAGAGGCATCAGGATGAATTTTAGTCTCTTTTATAACCAGCTAAAAACTCCCTACAGGAGCTTTAATTGTTAAACATGTTTCTGCAAGTCTGCAAACCTGTACGCCTGAAAAGCTAAATAAAGATTTAATGGTTTTTTCCTTTACAGTAGTTTAAGTATCTGATGAATGGATGAGCCTAAGCCCTTTAAAGAAGAAAAAAAATAGCAGCGGATTAGTCAAGGAATCAAACACCCACGCTTTTTTTGGGGTTTGACTTTGACTGACTGAACTGGTTTTTAAGGTGTTTCTGGTCCTTAGTCAGATTTTATGTAACCGTGTCAGAATGGTCACGTTTTTTACAAGAGCAAAAACACTAAAATCTTAATCCTTTTACAATACAATACAAAACAAAACAACACAATAAAACACAATACAGTACAAGAACTGTATGTTCAATGATTTTTGCCATACCTATTTAAAAACTGGCCCAATAGCAGTCCCGTAAATGTCAAAAATTCCACCATTAGGCCACAAGGTTCAATTTACAAGCATTCAAATCTCTTGTTATGTATTTCATGCAAATAAAAAAAGAACTATTCAATGAAATTCAATTTTCCAATCAGCAGTTTTACAGGGTTACATTTAGATGAACATGTTTTTTTTTAAAGTTCAAAGTTTTCTTTTTTTTTTGTCAATTTGCCAAAAGCTCTAAATTTGATTATAGGCCTGTGTGGGCTGTAAAAGGAGACATATGTCAGAACTGCCTGGGGCTAAAAAGCTGCAAGCAAATATTTCCCAGCATTCCCTCCTGCCAGTGTGAAGTCATGTTCAACTATCTGATAACATTTTATCTGTGTCAAACATGACGACTTTAAATGCGGTCAGGAGAGCCTTTCAGACCACGATGAACCATCATTCGATAGAGTGTTAGTGACTATTTAAGGCTGTGCCCCTGGTAAGGTGTAAAACTGAGCTACCTTAGCAGTAAATTCTATATTTACCGTAAAACTTAGCAGTAAATCTTATATACTGTCATGATATGTTCTGTTTATGTAGTTTTCTCCTGGTTTTATTTGAGTGCATTCCGTGTGTTTTCCCTGGTGTTCGTGTTTCCCAGTCTTGTGAGTTTTCAGTTTGTGTTTGACTCTGTTTCCCTCCTGTTTTCAGTGTTTATTTCCTGTTTTATTTTGTAGTCGTTGATTCCTCGTGTTTCTAGTCTGGTTTTACTTCGTTAATCACCCACAAGTTTCACCTGAGTCTCGTTTGCCTCACCTGTTGCTCGTCTCCCGATGTGTATATAGTCCCTGTCTTCCTCTCTGTCTTGTTGGTTCATTGTATGTTGTGTCTGTCTCTTCCACGTGATCTTGGATCTTTTAGTCTCTAGTTTCCTTGTAATTTTTTTCCCCAGTGTCTTTTTTTGGCTTCATGACATATACATGATCAAGTTCCACCCACCTAAAAAAAGATTTATCAACTCTAGTGATGGCACCACCCTTATGATATTTTGGAAATTTTAGGTTTTACTCTGGATAATTATACATAATTAATCACATTATACAAAATCATATATCTAGTGTGTATCTTTGGGTTTGGGAAAGGTATTTTGTGTTTTTTGCGACAAAAACACACCATAGCAAAAAGGTCTCCAGGATCACTCTGTGTATGTTGTATCAGAGCCTGAAGAATAAAACACAAACCCCCTTATGCCAAGCTCAGACACCAAGCCTGAAGAAGCCCTCATGAATACTTTCCTGGAGTAATTAAACTTCCTTTTGCAAACAGATGAGACCTCGTTTTATCTCTTAAAAAATACGTTCAGACCAAAGAAGAATTGAAACCATATTGATAAAAGGACATTGCTCAAATGCGTATTTATGAATGAGTGATGTGTCGTCAAAAACACGGAGTGTTTGCTTGATTTTTTAACTCTATTAACGCGGTTCTCAAGACGCCGCTACACTTGAGAGTCCAAATCATCAACCAGGCGCAGAGTTTTGGCGCAGCTACACAACTGGAAATTACCCAAACCTTTACAGTCCCAAATTTTATGAAGTTGTTCTACATGTTTAGAAATTATAGAGAGAAGTTTAACGGTCAGTCATAAAATAACTATTCACACACACCCTGGAGAAGTTATGAGGCAGTCAGGACGTTGTGCCAGCAGACATGCACAACATAAACTCCAACAGAAAGAAAATCTTTCACTCTGTTTGGCAGAAGAGGTCTCATATATTCAGAAAGGGTCAGTCTGGGTCAGGATTTTTAATAAAAACCAGACTCCAGATTACCTAACTGCATCTCGCCTAGAGCTGTTTCAGCCTCCAGACGTCTCTCCAGCATGAATCAGTCTTGGACACATTTCCGTGATCTGTTATGTCATTGGAGGATCGTCCATGCCTTAGGTCATATCATAAGGGGTAATTAAAAAATGATGAATCTTTGAGAAATATGCAAAGCAGCTGACAAAGACAGTAAAACAACAAACAGGAAGAACGAAAGAAAGGTCAGCAGACAGAAGGGAGATATAACTCTGACAGGTAGAAACCTCCTTTTAGTCTCGTCCTTATCTTTAATGGACGAACACAGGAAAAAAACATCTATATATCATGTATTAAATGTGATAAAAAGATCTAAGATGGTTGCTAATATCTCAAAATCTGTACATCTTAATGTTACGATCTTCAAAAACATGGTGCCACAAAGTTAAAAATCACTAATGTCTGCATTTCTACTTTGAAGTATCCAGAAGACAAATACTGTATATATGCAGCTAAACAATAAGTTTTGGTGGGTGTCCATACTCTTTTAAGTGTTTTATTTTGTGTATTTTTAACTGAGGTTAGTGAGATAGTAGTAGGTATAAAAAAAAACCCAAGAAATCACCAAAGAATTATGCAAAATAACCAGATATGTGCTGGTTTTCCATCTGTAAGGAGTTTGATAAATGTACACCAACCCTCCAGGCTGGTAGGGTGAGGGCGATAATGCATCACTTCATATAAAAGGTAAGATTCATTAAAAAGAAAGTTGTATTATTGAGGTAGAGCTCATATAATTGACATGTGAGGACATTGGAGCTGTTAGTCAGG